TTTTGTCTGGCTCTTTGTTTCTTAAATTCCACATATGAGTGAAATCACATGGTATCTGTGTTATTTCCTTAGCATTGTACCATCTAGGTCCATCCACGTTGTTGCAAATAGTAAGATTTTATTCTTTTTCATGGCTGGTAATATCTTTCTTTATCCATTCATCAATGGATGTACACTTGGGTTGCTTCCATATCTTGGTTATTACAAACAATGCTACAATAAACACAGGAGTGCATATATTGTTTCAAACTAGTGTTAATTTTCTTTGGGTAAATACCCAGCAGAGGAATTACTAGATCATATGGTAACTCAATTTTTAATTATCTGAGGAACTTCCATACTGTTTTCCACAGCGCCTGCACCAATTTCCATTCCCACCATTTTTCTCCACATCCCCGCCAATGTTTGTTGTTTCTTGTATTTTTTGAGTCTAGCCATTCTGTCAGATGTAAAGTGATACCTCATTGTGGTTTTAATTTGCATTTCCCTGATGATTAGTGATGTTAGTCACCTTTTTATGTTTCCGTTGGCCATCTGTATGTCTTTGGAAAATGTCTATTCAGGCCCTCTGCCCATCTTTTGACTGGATTATTTGGAGGTTTTTTTGTTGTGCTGTATGACTTGTACATATATTTTGGATAACAACCCCGTATAGAATGTATCATTTGCAAATATCTTCTCCCATTCAGTAGGTTGCCTTTTTGTTTTGTTGGTGGTTTCCTTCATTGTGCAAAAGCCTTTTATTTGGGTATAGTCCCAATAGTTTAATTTTGCTTTTTTTTCCCTTGCCTGAGGAAACATTTCTAGAAAAATGTTTCTAGAACTGCTGTCAAGGAAGTTACTATGTTTTCTCCTAGGATTCCCATGGTTTCAGGTATCACATGTAGTCTTTAATCCATTTTGAGTTTATTTTTGTGTGTGGTGTGAGGAAGTGGTCCAGTTTCATTCTTCTGCATGTAGCTGTCCAGTTCTCCCAGCACCATTTACTGAAGAGACTGTCTTCCCCGTTGTATATTCTTGCTCCCTTTGTTATAGACCTTTGTTATGTTAATTGACCATCTAATTGTGGGTTTATTTCTGGGTTTTCCATGCTGCTCTAGTGATCTCTGTGTCTATTTTGTGCCAGTACCATACACTTTTGATTACTACAGCTTTATAGTGTATTTCAAAATCTGGGATTGTGATACCTCCAGCTTTGTTCTTCTTTCTAGCCCTGATAAATATATATATACATATAAAGCCCTGATATATATAGCCTGATTATTTATATATATATCAGGGCTTTATATGTATATATACATACACACACACACACACACACACATATATACATATATATATATATATATATATATATATATATATATATATATATATACATATATGTATATATATATATATATACATATATAGCCCATATATATATAAAGACTGGAAGGAAATAGACCAAAATGTTAACTGTGGTCATATTTGCATGGTAGGAATAAATGAGATTTTTTTTTAGTTCATATATTCTTTTGAAAATGAATTATTACTCTTAAAATGGAAAACAAGGAATTTTTAAAAGGAAAGAAAGAAAGTTGGCAGAAAGCTCAGCTGTACCAATATTTTACCATGTGAGTTTCAGAACTAGAAATGTTTAGTGATTTCTTGCCTCAGGTTCTCCATATGAAGAATAAGGCTGTTATTACATGAGGCATACCTCCTAGATTTAGTGCTGTAAAATACACTGCCTCCTAAATACATCTAGGTTTTCTTATCACCAAACCTTGCTTACACAACCCCATCACCTAGAATCATTTCTTGGCTTTTCCTACAGAATTAAATTCTCCCCTTTCTTATAGATGCAATTCGAACCATTTCTCCTGAAATTCCTTCCTCCTCTGTAAGCCCACCCTGTCAATACCAACCTTCCTATAATTAACTACAAACAACTTTGAGATTTCCTTTGTTTTTTTTTAACATAATTCAATTTATTTGAAAACAAAATTACAGACTTTAGAATAAAGCAAACCCAGACTCAAAACTCAATACCAGTCATTTACTCCTTCTGATCCTGTTTCCTTGTATGTCATACAGGCTGACCGCCATTTGCCTAACAAGCTATTCTGCTGATCGCATGATTCGATGTATGCACAGTACCCAGCACTGTATTTGGTATCGAGTGGGGAGCCAATAAATCCTTATTATCTTCCTTAATCTTGCACCAGCAGACTTGCGCTCAAGAAAATACTAAAGGTAGTTCTCCAGACCAAAGAAAAAAGGTCCCAGAGGTAAGCACAGAGATGTAGAAAATAAAAAAATGAAAACAATATTTATTTTTTTAATGTTTATTTATTTATTTTGAGGAAGACAGAGAGCACGGGGGGCAGTGGGGGCAGAGAGAGAGGGAAAGAGAATCTCAAGCAGGCTGTGCTCTATCAGTGCAGAGCTAGATGTGGGGCTTGATCCCCACGAACTGTGAGGTCATGACCTGAGACGAAATCAAAAGTTGGATGCTTAACCAACTGAGCCACCTAGGCGCCCCAACAATAATTTTTTAGTAAATCTACATAACCATTATGTTTAGCAAATAAAACAAAAATGTTATAAAACAAAAATGGCAAAGTCTTGTAGGGTTTTAAAAACACAGACTATTCAATCAGACCATATCCCCGGGTGTCAGTAACCATCTTCCTTTCAAGAAAATTAGTAGATATACCAGAACAGGGACCCAGTAACCTAACTGGTGGGTTACCCCAAATATAAACCCTATACCCCCCATGAGTATTTAATTCATTTTCTTTTTTTTTTAAATTTTTTTTTAATGTTTATTTATTTTTGAGACAGGGAGAGACAGAGCATGAATGGGGGAGGGTCAGAGAGAGAGGGAGACACAGAATCCGAAGCAGGCCCCAGGCTCTGAGCTGTCAGCACAGAGCCCGACGCGGGGCTCGAACTCACGGACCGTGAGATCATGACCTGAGCCGAAGTCGGACGCTTAACCGACTGAGCCACCCAGGCGCCCCTTTAATTCATTTTCAACAGATATTTGATTGATTTATATCTTTTGATGTTATTCACCACAGAGGTGTGAATATTGTCTTGGAGTGAGTGTATGTCTAAGTCTATACTTATATCTTTGTATATTTTTTCCATTCCCTTATTGTAATACATTTTTAGAAGTGAGGATGTGAATCAAAAGACTTTTCCAATTTCAGTTTTGATTTATATTGGCAAACAGATTTTTTAAAAAACAATCCACCTATCCCACAATGAGTGAAACACTTCGTTATTTTCCCTTCACGGATATCTGTTAGATTCTAGTATTTCTTGTTCAAAATCCTGAGAACGGGGACTGAACCCTATGACCGTGCAAGCTCTCTGTGCTGTAAGGGATACTACAAAGACGTGTCGATAGTGAAGGTAATAAACTGCCAAAATGTAAAATCTTAGACTCCTTGAAATGAAATGCGGGGGAAAAACTGGAAAAATGAAATGAAGCCTTGAACACACCAAAGGCTTTCCAAATTAGAAAGTTATACTCATGGAAACACATCATATTAAACCACACTGAGCTATTCTCGAAACTAAAAATACCAGCCCTTTCATCTGCGGACACTGATACCACTAGTCCGGGACTTGCCCACACTCCTGTCTCCTGCCAACCAAGAGAATGTGATGGGGTGCTTCTCCTCTGGCAAGTCCAATCCTAGGGGAAAAGGAAAACAGAACAGTTGTTTCCTAAGGCAATAAAAAACCTTCGAGCTATTTAACGAAAGGAATCTTAAAATGCAGATTGAACAATTAAATTAGTTACCCAGAATACTCTCTGAAGTTAGTCCTTGGGTAATTTATTTAATGTTAAAGGAAAAAAAGAAAAGAAGCCCTAAATGTCCAAGAGCAAAAAGCATTTGTTTGAGACATACTGATTTACCTGACTTTTAAAAATTTTGCTTGGGTTAACTTTTTAAGGAAAATGTGAAAGAAAACAAAGAGGGCTATGAAACAATAAACAGGTAAGGAAACGTGGATGTCTTTATTTTAGATTATGAAAGCCCTGGCACGTGAGAACTGAAAGTACTTTCGAGATCACCCAGCCTAGCTCACCCCTCACTTCAAATGGCAGAGCTCGACTTAAAACAGAAGCAACTCATGCGTGGCCAAAACGAGCTAATGGTGTGGCCGCAATCAATACCCAGACACCCTGGTCTAGTTACATACTCTTTGTGTGACACTTGACTTCTCTACACACAAGGAGAAGAAGGGCAGGCAACCCAGCTCTACAGTTACTTGGTCCAAAATTTTGTTGGTTCCAAGAGACCTTCCGCCATTTCCCAGGTACGGCCTGGTGAAAAGATACCTCCTTATTCCCCTCAAATCCACCCTACATCTTAGCAGTCACCAAATCCTGTTGATTCTACCTCCTAAACGTCTCTCAAACATACCACTCATCTACATCACCACTGCCATGATATGGCCACCAGTTTTCCCTCACCTGGATTCCTGTAAACTCACCAAACCATTTGACCTACTAATTTTACCATTTCTCTTACACCCTCTCTGCATAAGTGCATTCTCCACATTGACCATATGACTTCCCCACTTCAAACTTTTTTGCGGTGAATTTCCTTATGAAGAAAAACAAGGCCTCAGTGGTTTTCCTCTGCTTTGGGGTTAATACCTGCGTGAGTCAGAGCTTTATCAGGAAACAGATGGCACACATAGGACAATTCAAGAAAGGTTTATTTCAAAAAGGACCAAGTATCAAGAAGTGGCAGAGTACAGGAGAACCATAAGGAAACACTCGGAACCTCTGAGTTGTGCAAAACCCCTCACCTAGCAGTGGACCCACTGACCTGCTCCTTCCTAACAGAAGGGATATAGGATGTCATGTCCAAGGCTGGGTTATAAAAGAGTGAGACTCCCACCACCAACCCCCTTTCTTACTCTTCTTCCTTGCTCACTCTGTCAAAACGAGCTGCCATGTTGTGAGCTGTCCCGTGGAGAAACACATGCAGCAAGAAACTGACAGTGGAGGAACGGAGGAATGGAGGCCATCGCCCCACAGCACTCAAGGAACTGAACCCACCCAGCAACCACAGGAGTGAGCTTGAAGTGAGCCTCGCCCCAGGTGAGCCTTCAGATGAAACTGCAATCCCAGCCAATGTCGTGACTGTCGTCTTTTGAGAGACACTGACCCAGAGGACCCACCTTAGATTAATGACCCATGGAAACTGTGACATAATAAACATCATGGTAAAGCCAATTAACCCCATTACATTTTGGGGTAATTGATTATACAGCAATGGAAGACTATACAAACGGGAGCTACCCAGACGCCCAAAAAGTTGAGGAGAGGAAAAGGGTATCAGGACCCAGAGGAGAACAACCTGCCCTGGGAGGAACAACCTTCAGTAAAGCGACACAGGTAGTGCAAAACTCTAGAGGGAGCCAGGGGAAGAAATATCTGGCTTTGCTCTTCTTCCTTCCTTTCGTCTCTCCCCAGGCTTCTACTGAGCCAATCTGATTCAAAGCCAGAGATTCCAGGATCCCTGCAGATGTAGTCTACCTCCTGGGGCAGAGAGCAGTATGGAGGGGGTAGAACATGGGCATGCAGGCACAAAAGGAAGATTCCCGCATGATGTCCTAAATCTTCGGCATGATGTATAAGGTCCTTTGTGATCCAGTCCTAATCTCCCCAGCTAGCTTTATTTCTCAGCCCCCATCACATAAACCTAGCTCCAAGAGAACAGCCACTTGAAGTTCCCAGAACTCAGTTTATAACATCACAACTCTGTCCCTTTCCATGTGGTAGTCCGTATGCCTCCTACGCTTTTTCTCCCCTTCTCTGCCAGGTTAATTCCTATTCATCTTTCATGAATTAAGGCAGGTGCCAAATCCCCTGGGCTGTCTTCTATGACATCATCATCCTCTCTCTCTCTTTTTTGTTTTACTGTTTATTTTTGAAAGAGAGAGACAGAGCGTGAGCAGGGGAGGGGCAGAGAGAGGGAGACAGAACCTGAAGCAGGCTCCAGGCTCTGAGCAGTCAGCACAGAGCCTAAGGCAGGGCTCAAACTCATGAACCGTGAGATCATGACCTGAGCCAAAGTCAGATGCTTGACCAACTGAGCCACCCAGGCGCCCCCATCCTCTCTCTTGATATGGATTTCATGACCCTTCGACCTCCTTCATCATTCCTCGGCTCACCTCTAGCGATGGCCTCTTGCGATTGTCTAGTTACCCATCTCTGCTCCATTAGCCCACGGGTTTTTTTCAGGGCACAGACCTTATCTTGCATTCCTAGCACTCAACGGTGTCTGGCACACAAATGATACTCGATACATATTTGCTGATTAGATGGTTTCTAGTCCTTACTGTGCCTTGGTCACCAGAATCTGTAGGTTCCCTGACTCTCGGCTGCGCTGGCCACCACAACTGCCTTCTGTGAATTCCAAAACAGTGTCCTATTCCCAGCGTGCTCATCAGGCTTGCCTCTTCCAAGCTAAATGTTTTCCCCTTCTTGCAGCATCCCACTGCCTGTGTAACTAAAATAGGACCACGTTTACTTTTTGGAAATGTGCCTAAAGCAGCTTCTGCCCAGGGCTTCCAGGGTCCTAGAACATTAGGGGAAGTGACCTTGGAGTATCAGGTCAACACAAAGGCAAGACCCAACTTCCAGCAGAAAAGGAGTAAATCAGTAGAAACTAACAAGTGAAGGAAGCCAGCAATGACAGACAAGCACACTGGCGTTTTCTTCTTTCTCTAAAACTTCTAATTCATCCCTAACGCTATATATTACTGACAATATCCAGTGCTGCTGACACTGTTCCTGCTGTCTAACATACAATCAGTACTGCCAAATGATAATTATACCAATGTCTTAAATATTACTAGCAAGCCAAAGAAACAGGTCACCACCAAGAAGATACTTTAACTGTTGAATGTTAAATCATTGCAACTAGAATTTTTCTTCTGATGCCTAACGACATTAGGTTTTATCTCAGTCCAATTTCAGTTACATAGGACTGTTTGAAATATTTCTAGAAAAGTTCTAAAGACCCTTACACGTGTCTACAGTCTCACAACATTGTTTTGACAGCAGAGAAGTGAATTAATCTATGATTAAAAACTTACAGAATGAACCTTTTAAATCATTGCAGAAAAGTATGTTTACAATATTTAGTCCAATCCCCTCACTTTACAGAAGAGGAAACGAAGCCAAAGTAATATTTTATTTATTATGTTGGTGGGTTGGTAGGCACACGGGGTTCATTTTATCATGCTTCTTTCTACTTTATGTGGACACTGAACGTATTCTTTTTGTGTAAGGAGTATTTTGTGGTTGGGAAGGAAGGAGGAAACAAAGTAGAGACGAGGAAGTCAAAATGAGAAACAGAGCTGGGAAAATGAAGTTCCCCATCCAGAGAACCAAAGCAGTACGTGTAGGAGCTAGGGCCAGATACCCAGAGCTCTCTGCTCCCTGTTTGGCATCTTCCATCACACCATCCCATCTCCTGACCCAAGTCTGGGTCAAGTTAAGCTACAATTTTCTCCATCCAACTACAATCTAATTGCTCAGAGTTCTACCAAATCAAATCACCAGTCCAGTTGGAAATTTCTCAAGAGACATTATTAACACCACTCAGAGAACTAAACAAAATCAGAAAGCAACCTACTTGTACTCAAAAGAATTCTGGGTTTAAAAAAGAAAGTAAACATTTTCGAAAATCTTTAACCAAGAAGCAAGAGCACCAGCAAGTAGAATGAAGCTTTCGCATTACAAATGTTCAAAGTCAACCCAAGTCAAATCTCTCAGACTAAGCATGAAAAGCAAAGATCGGCCGCACGGTACTTTCACTTATTTAACTTATCCAGTGTCTGCTGAACCCCAACAATGTGGCAATGGTAGTTTGCGGTTGATAACATGGTGGTGGAAGGGACGCCGAGGGGGGCAGTTAGGCCACCTGGACCCAATCATGGCTTCACTGGGAAACTGCTGAGTAACTTCATGCAAGTTACGCACCTTCTCCATACTTTACTTTGCTCCTCTGAAGGGGTTACTAAAATCCCTTACATGTAACTCCATGACAGAAGCCTGGTTCTTCTACATCTGAGAGATCTATAAATAATTATAAAATCAAAAACCCACTTCAAAACATTAACTTTCCCATTACGGTGCTACGTGTACTCTACCTGGACATTGTAAAACATACTGAATAAGTGCTTCGAGCCCAGATTCTCCTGAGAAAGAGTTTAAAACTCAGGTTCCCAAGACCCAGCTCAGACATATGAAACAAAAATGCCTTGGGGAGGGAGGGATGGAGGATCTCTTGAGGATCAATATTGTTATAAAACACACCTAAATGATCTGACATCCAGCCAGGTTCAAATATCATCCCTACGTTGGGCAATTCAATGACCCAGGATCTTTTGGATCCACGAATATTAAAAAAAGGTTAACAGGGTTTGGGTGCCTTAATGAATAATTAAGGTTTCTTTTAAATAGATTTTTAATGTGACCAATACATTTTTCATATACACCTCCAATCCAAAATGTGAATGTGAAGGATGGAAAAACTAAATGAGAAAGTCTGTTCAACTCAATAAATAAATCATGCCTTGGGAAAGTACAACTTCTCAGTTAATGACACAGAAAACATGAAAAGAAAATGAAGAGTATTCTGAAGGTGTAGGCCTGAGAAACCCACCCATCATTACTCATATGTCAGAAGGTTACCACCCTAAATGGCATTTAAAAGTCACAACAACGTTGTGGACATAATCATCCCACTTATGACTCGGAAGTTCACCCAAAAGCTCCATTTCTCTAGATCTGGCTTTTTAAATGTCAGCATGTGAATCAACACAACACAATGCAAGCAAAAACGTCACACTAAAAACATCTGACATGAGTAAGAAACAACCAGAGAAAGACAACAAAAAGGAAAGTACTATTTGCATAATTTTTAATGTAAATTTTTGTTGTGGACCTCTAAGAAAAGGCTTGGTTTTAGAGCTTACAACTTGAAAAAAAACACTATAAAAGAGGACTTCCATAGTACGTACATGTCTTAAATTGACCTTGGTTTCAAGGTTTAATCTTTACTGACACCTTGAGGATAGTGTCCTACAACATTGGTTGTATTGGTTGTAGCCAACGGCTGGTCTACAGCACTGCGAGTAGAGAACTAGGTAAATATCCCATGACTGAAACGTAACCATGGCTTAAATTAGTCAAATTAACTAGGTTTAAATGATTCCAGGTCCTAGACCCATACTAAGCAATGCCTTCTTTCTTCCTAATAGATTGAACAGACGTAATATCCCTTTTATAGCAATTAACTGTTATGACAAATAACATGAACACATAAATATCCCACATGCAAATTTGTCAAAAGGAAGCGAGATATGTTTCCAGTATAGAAACCAAGAGGCTAGTCGTCATATCTTTGAAGAACTATGGTAATTGACAGCTTTGTATCTAAATTAAACCAAGAGTCCCCTGCTACCACCTAAAAAGTAAAAATCAAGTTTGCACAAACCTGTAGGAAGTTTTCCTTTCAACATAATCCCAAATATTCTAGTAGAAAGGTGTTTGCATTGCATGACCTTTACATTTCTTACCAACCTTTAATAACCCATTAGTTTACAATCTCCCGAATAATACAAAAATATCTGTATTGTTTTCCTGTGTCTTAAAAAGGCAACTCACTGTATGAGCATACTTAAGTCAACGTATTAATAGTACCAATATTTAAACATCTTATAATTTATCTCCTTTCTCCAAATGACACTGTTTTTATAAGACCCTAAAGAAAAAAAAAAGAAGATTTCATTAAGTTCCTCATTTACTTTATCTAAATTAATCTTCACAATAACCCCATGAGGTACTGTCCTTCCTCCCCCCCCCCTTTTATTTTTCTTTTTAAAAATGAAGAAACTGAGGCTCACAGAATTAATAACTAACTCAAGGTCACATCACTAGGAAGTGGTAGCATTGCAATAATTTTAACCTAGGTCTGATTCCAAAGCTCATGTTCCTATGATCTTGGCTTAGGGTTTCCCTGGCGTGGGGTGGGTTAAGACGGTAATGAGGAATACACATCTTTGTATTATTCTGTACGCCTCACCAATTTGTTAGCCATTTGAATCTCTTTTTTCTTTATTACACTTTAATAGGCTTCTCTGTTAGAGATGGGTTATCTAAGCATTCTCTTACAAAGCAAAGAATGAAGGAATTTGATACTCAGAGCGAAATTAGTTTTGAGTTCTATTTTTATAAGGAAAGAGAAAAATTCACCACATTGATCATCCAGGAATATCTAGTTCAACCTTGCCCATATGATTAGCAGAGATCAAACACACAGTCTTGCAGAATACACAGAACCCAGCAGACAACTCAAATATTTAGTGAAGTGAATGAACATT